GTGCCTCTCTGTCATATCTGTGTATTCTTTTGTAATGTGTAATCCTCTACTGCTGAATATCTAATTCCAGTATCCTCTGCTTATCTTACTTTTTTAGTAGTGAAAATTGAATATCAGCCACGACAAGCAGCATTTTAGAAGGTAACATGTTGCATTTTACTTAGAAGGGAAGCGTCTACGTGAAGAACCAAGCTCGGATGGCAATGTCCATTGAGCAGTAACAAGCAATTGACTTCACATCGAAGAGGCAAAACTCCATTCTTAAAACAGATAAGCTCTCTCTAATTTACATGACCTTGTTTCATCAATGGAAGTCATTGTATCTGGTAGTTGATTTGCTTAAAAACAGTCTTTAACACATGATTAAGAAGTGGTCCCGTTGAGTGAGTGGTGCTGTCTTTATTGGGTAGTCCTTCTGAACTGTCTTTGTCCTTGGATGTAAGCCAATTCCATTGCAAATTGCAAATTGCAGTGGTGCTTTCTTTTATTTTTCAAGACCCACCAAGGCAGAAGTTTCATGAGGAGCCATGGCTTTTTTCTTGCACTAATCAGATCTCCATTGTTAGGGTCACCACAAGAGTTTGGTGCAAATATGAAAGCAACTTGACATATTACAACAGTTTAATGTGCCACCAATTTCCTTTCTTTACCTTTCATATGAAAATTAGAGAGAGATGGCAGAACTGTTCACTAGTTTGGCTTTACTTCACAGTTCATAAATTGTATAAAGCTTCTTGTGGATGGTTTCTAAACTTTTACTATCTTTTTCATGTACAGATTTCGAAAGAAAATCTTCTTATTTCTATTTCGTTTTTTTTTTTCCAAATTTCAGGAACTTTCTCGGTTTAAGGACTACGGAAGAAAGGTAACATTTTTTTGTCCCTTTATCCCTGTTTATCCTTGTGTAAGCAGGTTTACTCATAAATTTTCTTGCACCATAAATAATTCTAAGGGAAAGTTTTCATTATTGTAAACCGCAAAGAAGCCAAAATACATAGAGGCAAACCTAGAGTGGCATAGAACAGAACATAAATTAAAACAGTACATAAAAATTTATAGATACTGACATATGTTGACATGTAGGGTATTTACAACTTTGGGGAATTGTACTTGCCATGTGGAAGATGATCTAAAGTAGGATTAGTAAAATTTCTAATTACATCAAGTAGAAAATGTATACATTAATTTATGTATTTGATGTATAAGTAAAATAACTTCTCCTCTATTCATCAAAAACTTACGAAAACATATAACTTGAATTGAAGTTTGTATTTCCTTGGAAGTATGGTACTATTTTTCGATCAAACTTTTACCTCATCGTGCATGATGTTTTCGTTACGTATTGCATTAAAATTAAAATTTCTATGAAATCCAACCTTACCATGTTTGTTAGAAGTGAAAGTTTTAAGTAGAAGTGAGTCCAAACAATTGGGTTTCCACAAGGGAGCATTTGTCTCAAATGCACTTATGATTGATTACATGAATAAAAGACCAAACCAGAGAGTTTAATTTCCCTGCCATTAACTTTTGACATGTGGAGAAGATTTTTATTATGTACAATAATTAGAAATGTCTTGAGGAAGGTGGGCCTCAAGCTTACAATTATTGTAGGAAATGGAAAGATAATTGACCTTGCAAGACTTTGTTTGTACAATAATTAGAAAGTTTTCCACTGGGTCATTTTGGTTTTACTTCTTGGTAATGGGTATTTAGTAGGTTGAAATTTTGATAAAATAATTATATTTTATAATAAGAAATTTTGGTAAAAGACAGAAGATAAAATAGATTTTTTATTAGATAACTTATAAGACACACAAAAATTAACTTATTTTAATAGTTTTTTAAAAAAAAAAAGTAAAAACAAATGAGCAAAACAAACATCGTCGTTTTTTAATACATAAAATGAGTTTATAATTTTTTTGAGAGAGAAAAAGCGGCCATTAGCATCAATGAAATGTGATCTTGCTCCGACTAGGCTAGCAAGAATTCGTGATGACTCGTGATGAACAATGGTCATGTTAGGTAATAATGAGATCTCTTAAGATAAGGTAGTAGCCATGTTATTACAACGTCTAGAGCTCTAATTTGCTAGAAAGTAACTAAAAGAAGTTGTAAAAAATAAGACATTATTAGACGATAAATGAAATTCACTAATATTACTGGTATTTATAGAAAACAAAGTGAAAAAGGACTTTGAATCTCTCGTAACCAAGACATGTATCCTCTCGGCCATTACAATTTTTGTACCATAGGCCTCTGTTTATGTCCATGATCATATGTGTGTTAATATTCTTTATTCCTATAAAAACTATCTATGTATTCCAATCCTTAAATGCTACACTAAATCTCATCCATATAATCCAAATTGAGTCATTAAAATTGGTAGTGTGGATTCTACTTGATTGTGGTAACAACATACTACTTGTCACAATGTTTACTATGTTGTCATCCCTGTCTTAAAAAGACAAGGCCTCCTCCTTTAGAAATTGATGCTTGCATGTTCAAATCAAACCATATGGTTCAACATGTACATTCTTATGAGTTTGTTGATGATGCAATTGCTAAATTCTCCATACAAACTTATGAACGAAAACCCCTCTACGTCATACTCTTTGTAGAGATATCCTTGTACAATCATTCATAAATATGTAGTGGTAAGGAGCTTGTATTTCAAAATGGGCTTAGCTTATACAAGGTATCTACATATCCAAAATATTGAAATACGTGACGAGCAGTCTCGTCATCTTTTCCATACATCGTACATCTTGTATCCACAAGCACTCGTTTCCTAATAAATTCGATCTCATAAGTGTTATATTCTTATATAGCCTCCATACCATATGTTTCACCCGAGGAAGGTAGGCATAGACCATATTTTTCTCCATATTGATAAATCTTCCCCCAATGATGATCTTCTGTTGTTCTTATAGTTCTTTTTTCATGTTTGGTAATATCTAGATTTCACTATGTATTTCTCATTCTTTGTGGGAGCATAAACATGTTTCTATAATGGCAAATTGAAATACTCTATGTTAGTCTCATTATGTGAAAAGAAAGAAAAGACTATGAATATTCCACCAATACCATATGGCATCAGTTGTAGGGACATGTACTCTGGACCCCCAGTATCTTGTGGAATCCGCAATTGGGGCATGTACTCCACATACTCGCCTTATAATTTTAATGGTCATTCTCGATTCTCTAGTTTACCTAATACCCATTTCTCATGTCATATATGGATCTGGAGGTTGTCATCCACCTCACCTTGATCCATCTTGCAACATTCGAAAGCATAAAGAGAGAGTAGTAAGGTTATTTATCTATCTCTGTACTTGCTTGGCTAGCATCGCTAGGTTGAAGTTGTGGAAGTCTTTTAAACCTTATTCCTCATTCTAAGTTAGAAAAACACATCCTTAACCAGACAATCCAATGGATTCCTTTTTCATAACCATGCTTACTCTATTAGAACTTTGGTACAGTGGCCTAAATTTGATAGCAAACATTTCTTTATTGATAAATAAACACTCATAAAATAGTTCGAGATTGCTTATGCAATAGCCTTGAATATTATCTCCTTAACTACTTTTTGATAGCTTTAATATTTGCTAACAATGTATTTGTTATGCAACTCAGTCTATCAGTACCCCAAGAGTACTGATCAAACACTTCCAAGGATTGTCTGTAAATTAAGATATTTTATGTATTTTTTAATATTTTAAAATTAATATTTTCATCATTGTTTTTATTGTAGATAAGTACATAAAAAAATTTAAAAAATAATAAATGTGAATATTAACCAATTAAATTTTTAATTTTTTTCCTATCTAACAAAGCTCTTTTTTAACAAAATATATTGATCATTAGGTTAAGGTTACACTTTTTTCAAATAGAGATTTTGGTTTTGTTGAAAAAAAAAAAAACAGTGCATATAAGCCTCTTATATATTAATAA